CGAGCATACACTGACTCATCTTGCATTTCTTTTTTTTTAATTTCTTTTTATTTTTTTTTAGGCAATTGGGGTTAAGTGAGCTGCCCAAAGTCACATAGCTAGTAAGTGTCTGAGGCCAGATTTGAACTCAGGTACTCCTGACTCTAGGGCTGGTGCTCTATCCACTGTGCTATCTAATTGCCCCTCACCTTGCATTTCTAGGAGTTATAACCAATTCTGAAATTTAAAAAGAAATCTCTTTAATGCCCTGAAAAAAAAAAAAAACTTCTTAAAAGTCCACATAGCAAATCACTCATTTTTTTAACTTCCCATTATAAAAAGAAGCCCCAACAAGACCAATTAAAATCCATACCCATCAATCCAATGTTTGCTGTTATGAGTATTTGCTTTTATGAATGAATGATCCCAAGAATGTGATGCTAGGAAGACTCAGGCTAGGTCAAAATCATTGCACTTTTTCAAATAGGCAGCCAAGTAAGAACGCCATAGGTGCTAGCATCCCTCTGGAGTTCAAAAATCTAAATCAGTCATGAGGTGTCCTGTCTCAATTGCAAGTTAGCCAAATAGTCCAGCAAATGTTCTCCCCCTTCAGTGAGGGGAACTCCCAGGGACCTCAGGAAACATTCCGGTCTCATAGGTCACTATTGATCATTGGAATTAGTATAATACTAATTGTGTTTTGTGTGTGTTTGTGTGTGTATGTGTGTGTATTCTTATATATACTCTGAATATAGTAGAATATATTATGTTAGAATTATATTAGTCCTATGTGTTAGACTGTATATTAATATTAGTTCATATATATTAGAATTATATTAGTCCTCAAATGAATTCTTATACCTCTGTTATCTTTGGCAGCACTGGTCACCTTCATCTATTTATTTGCTTTCTCCACACCTGCAATTTCACTTGCTCTTAAGAATTCCTGGTATGAAAATGTCTTTCACTAACACAAAGTGGCAATTCCTCATTTAGTACAATTTATAGGAATACAGAGTTGCCTGGGGAAGTGAGAGTTAATTGATTTCCCCTGCTCATCAAACCATTATGTGTCAGAAACTGGTTTTGAACCTAAGCTTTCCCAACTTCTTGGCTGGCCCTCCATCCACTATGCCAAGCTAATTCTCATTGGTCACCTTAACCAGTCCAATCCAATGTAAACTAATCCAATCCAATCTCTTATTAAATGATTAATACTACAGGAACATGGGGCAAAGATTCCAAGTATGTATATATGTATGTATGTGTGTAGATATGTGTGTGAATATGAATAGATGTATANACCAATCCGATGTAAACTAATCCAATACAATCTCTTATTAAATGATTAATACTACAGGAACATGGGGCAAAGATCCCAAGTATGTATATATGTATGTATGTGTGTAGATATGTGTGTGAATATGAATAGATGTATATATACATGTGTTCATGTATGTGTGTATATTTCTGTACATATACCAGGCTATATCTGGCCAACATACCTAGGGGTTCCCCTCACTGAGATGAAATAGTTTCACAGTCAAATTCCTTTATACGTAACATACACAGATATTAGAAGAAATAGTATTAAAGTGACATCACTTCTCTGGGCCTCAATTTCCTCATCTGTAAAGTGTAGGAATTAAAATTGTAGTTATTCAAGTCTTTTTTTTTTTAATTTTAAAGGTCCATGAATCTTTGGTCTATCATAGTAGCAATGGTTTACATCTATAGTTTGTGATTCAAACAGTATAGTTGACAAGTAAATCCATTCTACTAAAGAACGTTTTAAACCTTTTACTAATTATAATTAATCTTATTTTATAAGGGTAGGAAAAATCTAATACACTTCTTAGCAGCTGGTTTGGTTTGTTTAAATCCATAAGGCACAGAGAGTAAGACACACAGAGAACTAATATATAATCAGGGACATAAGACCTACATTGCTTTACCTGTTGATATTCAGTTAGACAAAAAATACAAGCTTTTCTAAACTAACCAGTGAATAAAGTCCTCAGAAACATTATGTCAAAGTTAAACATGGTATCAGTAAAAGAAATTGAGATCTATTGAAATCTTTGCATTCAGTCTTTCATAACACAATGGAAGTAGAATATACGTATGTATCTTTTGAAACAGAGCAGTGATTTTGCTGTATGGATAGTTCTTGGTAAAAAATCTTCTTTATTAAAGCAGAATGGCATGTTTCTGCAACTTATCATCTTAGAGGAACGATTGTGAAGTACAGAGTGGTTAAGTGAATTGATCTGTGTCCCACGGCCAAAATACACAATCACATATGTGTGCACACATCTATCACATTTGTTAGGTGCTCCATGTCCCTTCAGAGAGGTTAAAAATCAGCATAAAAGAGACTGCTTTCCTTTCCTTTCCCAGATCCTCCCCAGGAACCATCTCTTACTTCTCCATCACAACTATTACCCATCTGAGGTGTCCAAGGTAGTCATCATCCTCAATCTGAAACTGACTTATCAGTCTCCTTTTCAAATGGCCTTCTTCTCTATAAACTGCTCTAATGGGCAGGACTGCACTCAGCTGAAGTTAGAAAAGGCAAAGAAAGAGGGATTGGGTAGAGCAGTGGGAGGGAAGGAAAGATGTATCTGGATAGTAAATGTAAAAATGAAGAACCGAAGGAGAGAACAAACATAAAAACTTTCCTTGGCATTGTAGATGGCTTCATTATTTAGCTAAAGAAAAATTCCCTCTCCAGTTTCTTTGCTACGTAGAAATGACAAATAGTGCCAAGTGTGAAAATAAATGGAACACATTCAGGAAAAATCATATTAAATTTTTGAGTTCATGATGTTTCTTCAGTTAGTAGCACAAATATCTACCATGGGCCAGTTTAAAAAAAAAAGGAAAAAAAAGAAAGAAAAAGGTTATTATAACTTAAATACACACAGAGAAACACATATATATGGCATATGTTGAATTTATTTAATTAAGAAAATCTTTACAGTTTAATTCATACAACAGAAAATTAACTGGAATCGAGCACTGGGCTACAAGTAAATACTTGTGAACAAAATGACAGTTTCAGTGGGAACAGGGAAACGAACATCTAAAAGTGTGCCCTCAATTGAGGAAAAATTAGCAGATCAAACCCCATCCTTCCTTCCGAACACTCCCCCCAGGTGTTCTTTATCATTAGTTAGTAGGTCTACAATTATTTATTAAGCACATACTATGTGCTAGGCATTATACTAAATGCTGGGGATCCAAAAAGAGGCAAAAGACTGTCCTCTGCCCTCAAGGAGATCCCAATAATTAGTTACATAAGCAAAAAAATAGTCATCTCTCTGTAATAAAAGACACAAAAATAGAGTGATTTCTTATTTTTTGGAAAAGAGCATTATATTCACAATGGCTAAATTTCCTTAGGCACAGCTATCTCAGGCACCAGATGATTAAAGAAATTTTTTTCTGTATTGCTATAAATTCTGTAAATGCTACTATGTTTTATTTTATTTAGGTATATTTTCAAATCATATAAGAGCTTACAAAATGAATCATGTATATGAATTTTAGCTAGCTATAAGTTAAACTGAGAAAAAATAAAAAAAAAAAAAAACTTTTCCATAAAAAAGACATTTTAGCCCAGAACCATTTTATATAGTAGTCATTTATATCTAAATGTCAAACATTACTTGCATACTGTCCTCAAAACAAGCATTCTACATTCAAAACAGATTTGATATGTCAGACTTTTGTAAGTCACTGATATGATCAATGGCTCATAAGTCTACACCTGGAAGGAACCTTAATGGTAATTTAATCCAACTCCCTTAATTTACAGGTAAGGAAACTAATGAAGGACATATTTTGTAATTTGAGAGAAATAGCATAAAGCTGAGTGTTATTACTGTATAGATCCCACCATTATCAGTATACTTTTTAAGTTGAATTTTTAAAATCCCATCATATTTCCAATTCAAATGTCCCAATACAATTTCTTTAAATGAAACCGAGGATAAGTCCAGCCAATTATTGCCATACTCCTCCTCTCGATTCAGAGCCTCCACCGTGTTCAAAAAACATGAAGTCCTAGAATGAAAATCCAAAATATAGGCAATTAGATATAGAATTTAACTTAGATAAGTTCAGTTTTTAGGCACAAGGCATAAAATAATACAGAAGGAGCACAATTTGTTTAACTAAATTAAATATAGCCAGAAAGTTTAGTATTCATGTTTTAAGAACCCTGGAATACAAATATTTATAATCAACAACAACAATAACAAAATGCTGGTAAAATGGTAAGATCAGAGATATTACTAAAAACCTAATCATAGTTTTATTTTTCTTAACTTTTCTATTATCATCCTTTGCACAAAGGATCATATCTTTATAAAGGAAGAGTACACACATATCTATATCTATGACTTTTTAGCAATATTTTATGTTAAATACATGTTATTAATTTCCAAAATATTTTCACATATACTATCTGCTGGGCAATAACACAGACTTGTTATTTTATATAAAACTATTTTATAATATTCTAAATATTATGATGAAGGGCTACTTTGAATAAGAGATACAGGTATAAAATGAGTTATGTTGGATTTATGTATATGGGAATTGGAAGAATTTCTTTGCCTGAGATGGAAATAGTTCTAGTACTAAGAGAATTAATTTGTGTTCTAGTCTAAACTTAATTTAGAAATTGCACAGTCCTTTCAATAACTGCAGAGGCATACACACATGTATATACATATATATATATACATGTATGTATATACATACATATATATATATTATACATGTATGTATATGCGTCTCCACATCTAATACAGATTTGGTTGTATCTATCAAACAAAACAAAATTCCAGACATAAGATTTCAATTTTTTTTTTTTTAAAGCACATCTCTCTCTCTACTCCAGTTGCACTTCTGGCCTTCTGAATTTTAGTACTTAAATTTGTTTCTTCATCACATGACCCAGCCTACCAGAGAGGAGAGATGGGGATTTCT